TGTTCCTCCCATTGCTAATTTCTAATTTTATGCATTATGATCTGAGAAGGTGCTATTGCAGTATTTCAATATTTTTTAATTGATTGAGGCTTGCTTTGTGGCCTAACATGTGGTCTATCCTGGAGAATATTCCATTTGCACTGGAAAAGAATGTATATTTTGCTGTTGTTGGGTAAAGTACTCTGTAGATGTGTATAAGGTCAAGTTGGTGGATTGTATTGTTTAGTTCTTCTGTGTCTTTGTTGACTTTCTTTCAAGTTGTTCTATCTGTGATTGGAAGTAGTGTATCAAAGTCTCCTACAATGACTATGGAGTCATCTATTTGTCTTTTCAGTTCTGTTAGAGTCTGTTTTATATATTTTGGGCCTCTTTCATTGGGTGCATAGATACTTATTTGTTATGTCCTCTTGTTCAGTCAATCCTTTAATCATTATATAATGTCCTTCCTTGTCTCTTATGGTGGTTTTTGTCTTAAAGTTAATTTTATCAGAAATTAATATTGCCACTCTTGCTTTTTTATGCTTGCCATTTGCTTGATATATCTTCTTCCAACCTTTGATTTTTAGTCTATTTTTGTCTTTGTCTCTAAGGTATGTCTCTTGTTGACAGCCCATTGATGGGTTATGTTTTCTCATCCAGTCTGCAACTCTCTGTCCCTTGAGTGGTGCATTTAATCCATTGACATTAAGTGTAATTACAGACAAGTATGAATTTGTTGCTATCATTTTGTTATGTGCTTTTTTGTGGTTTTGTTGATTTCTTTGTTCCATATAATTTTCTGTGCTGAGCCCATTTTGTTTATCAATTGCATTATCATTTCCTTTGTTGTTATTGTTTTAGTATTTGCTAAATATTTGTGCTTGTCCTCTTTATTATTTTGATGTGGAGGCTTATCATTTTTCTTTGAGGTTACCCTGTGATTTATAATTTTCTTCCCAAGTTTAGAACAGTCTGTTCTATCTTGCAGTTGTCTTGACTTCTCTACCATTTAGAAGTTCTGTAACTACACAGTTTTTCCCTCTTTTTGGTTTGTTATTGTCCTCCTTTGTCAATTGATATCTCTAGTTCCCTGTTTACAATCTTTTAGGATTACTTACTTTGGATACTTCCATAACTGGGTTGGTTTCTGGGTTATGTCATCATGTGTGTTAATAGTCAGTTGTTGTTTGCTGTTGTTGGTTCTCTATCCAAAGAACTCCCTTTTGCATCTCTTGTAAGGTTGGTCTGGTTGTAACAAATTCCCTTAATTTCTACTTATCTGGAAATGTCCTAATTTCACCATCATATTTGAGGGACAGTTTTTCTTTCAGGGTTTTATATATACCATCCCATTGTCTTCTTGTCTACATGGTTTCTGCCAAGAAATCTGAGTTTAGTCTTATTCGTTGACCCTTGTAGGTAACTTTTTGTTTTTCCCATGTTGCTTTCAGTATTCTTTCTTTGTCTTTGGTTTTGGTGAGTTTGATGATGATATGTCTTGGTGATTTTCTTTTGGGATCTCTCATGTTTGGAGTTTGTTGGACTTCTTGAGTGGATATATTCTCATCTTTCTTCATATTGGAAATTCTCTTCCAACAAAACTTGGACAACTTTCTTTGTGGTTTTATTTGTCTCTTCCTGTTCTGGAATTCTGATTACAAGTATTCCTTTTGATGGTATCCCACATGAACCTTAGACTTTCTTCATTTTTTGGGGGGGTCTTTTTTCTGATTGACCCCTTTCCAAAGAAGTATTGAGGTATTTGTCTTCAGTCTCACTAATTCTTTCATCCATTGATTCAGTTCTACTCTTTTGCCTGTTCAATGTATTATCTGTTTCTAAAAATTTAGTATTAATCTTCTGGATTTCTGTCTGTAGATTTCGGATCATTTCTAATTTTCTATTTATTTTGTCATTTTGTTCTTGTATTGTCTTTTGAAATTGTTCTAGGGTTTTCTCTGTGTTTTCCTCAGTTTTGTCAGTATTTTCCTTGATTTGTCTCTCAAGCCATTAAAGGTACCTAAATATAATTCTTTTGAATTCTTTATCAGGGAGTTCCAGTGATGTTTCTTCCTCAAAGATGTGTTCTGGATCTGTATCCTGGTCCCTTGTTTCTCCTGCTTTTTCTTGCTTTTTTGTGTGTACTGTGATACTCTGTTGTTTCCAAGACATTGTCATGGCTTTGTATTTATAGTAAATTGGTGATTGTATGTTGGAGTGATTTGCCCAAGATTGTCATTTTCTTTGTTTTGTTTGGCTATTATCTAAGTAAGCAGGATACTGTGCTCCTCTATTTGCTAGTTTGCAGCACTTATACACTCACCACCTGTCTCTTTTCCCATTGTTAGCCTCCCAAATATCCCTACCTATTCTTAGGTCCCAGGAATCCTAATGAGAATGCTGTCACTTTAAATATCCAAAATAGCTGCTGCTTGTAAACAATCAAAATGGCTGTACCTTCTGAACAGCCAAAATTCCACAGCTCAGGTTGTCTCTTTCTTTGCTGTTTCACATCTTTATCATCAGCTACCAGCACAGTAATCCCTTTAGCCCTTGGCAACTAGAGCTAATCTTTAGGTTAGTTCTCAGTCCAACACCCCTTGGAAATATTCAGGCTGTTGGTGCCATCAGAGTAGTTGACAGTCTGCAGCTTTGTCCATCTCCATACTCACTGTTTTATTCAGGTTCTTCCATTAGTTGGTACCTAATCCACTTCTGTATACCTTCTTTCAAAGCTCAGGGCTCCAGGATTGTCTTCTGTATCTCTGTCAATTGGTTTCTCTTTTCTTTGTTGAAGAGGGTCTGTGTAGCTTGTCTGCTTATTCTAGAATCTTGCCGCAGGTCTTAGAGAGTGCTTTTTAACTTTTAATTCCATGAATTGATAGGCAAAAGGTCATTAAGGGTCATCAAGTGACTTTGCATATTAACCTGGGCAAAATTTCAGGACAATAGGATAGAGACATTAAACAATATATGAAAAGTCAAAAAAGTAATTGTATTACACAGAGGTTAGTGGTAGGTGCCCAAAAGTAATGAAATAGAATAACAAATAACAAGTTGGAATAGAGATCAAAGAAAACAAGCCATAGAAGTTCTAGTCTACAAAGGGAATGGAAAGAGTCTCAGTAGTAGAATGAAGGGAAATTGCTGTCTTATAAGGTGTTTTATGGCCAAGTAATTAAATTCATGATTTACCAGGGGTAATTAAGAGATCCTCACAATTGTAAAAATGAAAACAAACCTGATTGTCTGAGATTCTGTGTCATGATGTTGTATTTCTAGCCCTCGGTTAGGTGTTTAAAATTCTATTTCCCACCCTTCAGCCAAGATAGCATACTCTGTTCTATAAAATGTCCTTATAAAGGTCAAGAGGGTAAATGTAAAGACTCTTAATAAGGCATCATCTTGTATTTACCTGCTTATTTCTTGGTTCTAGGTTAAGCAATACCTTTCCTTTTATCGTTTACATTTTTAAAAAATTTGTGTTTCTTCAGTGTGTCATTACTACAAGAGATTACAAAAGCTTTCAACTTTTCTTTATTTAACTCTTTCATTTCCCATTTCCCAATGAGTTGCTTTGCTTTTCTCTAGGTCCTATGGTAGTTTCCTTGAACAGGAATGCTCCAAATAGAGGAAGAGCATTATTCCAATAATGTGAGGGGAATTTTGTTTTTCCAAGTTAGTACCTATGCCACCATTTAAAAATATTTCATGGACTGCTTGGTTTATGGTTCATCCATGTGCCTTTTTGATGTTTTTTTAGGTTCTACTATGAACGTTTGGACCTGTCTAATATTTCTTAGAAAATCTATCTCAGGACCAGGAAGGGCAAAAAATAAAACTCAACTCAGACAATGTTGATAACAAGTTTTAAATCACTTATTTAAGTCATTTGTTTGGAGAATCTGTAGATGATATTTAATAATTTTGTAATTTCCTGAGAGTTAGATTTCTCTGTAAAATTCTTAAGATATTTGTTATTGTATACTATACTATTGGAGTTTGTGTGTGTGTGTGTGTGTGTTTAAATTTTATAATCTGTTGCAATTTTCTAAAAATATCAACTGTATATATTGCTGCTTTGGAAAGGGAATTAAAGCAAGACATCATGTGCAGAAGAACAGTAAAGTAAAAGAGAGAGAAAGCAGAGAGACAAAGTAGGTCATAGCAAGAAGAGACCATATAGACCATTTGGTGCTGTCTCTTTCTTTCCAAACCAAAAATATGGAGGCTGAGACATTAAGTGAATTTGCTCAAGTTATTATACCCAATGATTAGGAGAATGTGGACTAGAATCTGTTCTCCCTACTCCCAAGTAGAAACATCACATTTAACAAGGTCTTTCCATTATGACTTTGTCATAGGCAGTAACTGCAATAGGATGACAACATATACCTGAAATTCATGAAATATTAATGTTTATATAGAATGAAACTTAATTTTGTTACCCTTGGTACTAGCTCCCAAATTTTGTTTTTTTCTCATGAGACTTAACTTTCAGCAATCTTGAAACACCAGAGCTTTAAAACAGTCAGCTTCAAATCTGGGAGAATTTGAAATCTTTCATTGCGTTTTCCCATTATTTTACTAAAACTGTGTGTCCTGTGTTTTGACTTCTAAATAGACATGACAAGAATAGGAGAAGGGATAGGTAAGCATTTATGGAGATATTGAGTTATAGAAGCTTTTGTTCTTATTTTCTGGAATTTTGGACTATAACTTGTGAGTCTACCATTAGCAAAGTCTGGTTGATTAATTTCCTTATATCAGATTATTCCAGTGTCTGAGGAAGCCTTTCTTTCTTGTCTTGGGATATTTTAATTTTCTATTTAGATATAATAATTTAAAATTTTCCATTAAAAGTTATGTCAAAATTCATTGCCAAGCAAGAATTTTCCAATTGAAAGGATGGGGGCAAAGATGTTGAGAAACTGCCTTGTCAAATTGTCAAAACAATTATGTTTGACTGCCTAGTCCTTAGTTTGAATTGTAATTTACTTCACTTTTCTTGTCATTTCCAGCACTCAACTGGTACCTCCAAAGTTCTCAAGGCAGAGCTGGAACAGGAAATGGAACAGCTAAAGACACAGGTGATTCGTCTTCAGGCTGAAAAAGCAGATCTGCTGGGCATTGTATCTGAATTACAACTCAAGTTGAACTTAAGCGGCTCCTCTGAAGACTCCTTTGTTGAAATCAGAATGGCTGTAAGTTTATTTAAAAAAAAAAAAAAAATCAAGTTACAAAATCTTACTTGGACAGTTAAAAAATAAAAACCTACCATTTCTTTTTAACACTTGAGAAGCTAGATAGTCAGGAAATTTTAGTGTAGCAAAGATAAATTGGCTCTCATTTTTAAAAGAATAACATAATTCTTAAAAGAATTGTTATAACTGAAAATGAAAACAAACTATTGATTACCTTTTATAACAAAAAGGGTAGTCTCCCCTTCCTACCCCATAATATGTCTTAGCAAGTCAGACATTTTTGTGACTGACCTAAAAATACAAGCATAACCTTTCTTTCTATCATTTTTCAGACTAGGTCTCAAAATTGTGTTCAGTAGTTCATTTAAGTGAACAGAAATGTGATCAGATGCAGTAATGAATGGCTTTAAAGCACTTTTGAATACTAGAACCCTCTTTTCAAACAAAGTCTTATGAGGAATAATGGTATATTAAAAATAAGAGAATTTCCCTTGAAATCAGGAATAAATAAGGGTAACCACTCTCACCACTTTTATTCAATATTGTTTTAGAAGTCCTAGCCAGAGCAAGACAAGAACAAGAAATAAAAGGTATTCATATTGGAAAAGAAGAACTAAAAGTATCCCTATTCACAGATGACATGATCCTATATAAAGAAAATCCCAGCATCTACAAGAAAGCTTTTAGAACTAATAGAGGAATATAGCAAAGTTGCAGGGTCCAAGGTCAACAAACAAAAATCATTTGGGTTTTCATTAAAGAGGGTAGAGATAGCCTCTTTAACAAATGGCACTGGCAAAATTGGATACCCATTTACAGAAAAATGAAACAAGATCCATACCTTACACCATACCAAAAAAAAAAAAAAATGAACTCAAGATGGATCAAAGACCTAAATATAAAACCCAAAACTATAAAGTTCATCAAAGATAAAATAGGGGCAAACTAAGGGACCATGATTCATGGTATAAATAGACTATCAATCATAGCCCAAAATGTACAAACAGCAGAAGATAAGCTAGATGGAGAAGACCTTCTAAATACTAAATTCATATGCACATCAAAAGACTTCTTCAAAAAAGTAAAAAGAGAACCTAAAGTTTGGGAAAAAATAATTGGGAACAATATCTGACAAGGCACTTATCTCTAAAATGTACAGAAAACTTCAACATCCAAAAGACAAACAATCCAATTCAAAAATGGGCAAAGGACATGAACAGACATTTCACCAAAGAAGATACCAGGCAGCCAACAAACACATGAAGAAATGTTCATGATCATTAGCCATTAGAGAGATGCAAATCAAAACAACCATGAAATACCATCTTGCTCCAGCAGTAGTAGCAAAGTTCCACAAGACAGAAAATAACAAATGCTGGCGAGGACGTGGAGAGACTGGGACTCTCATACACTGCTGGTGGGACTGTAAAATGATACAGCCTCTGTGGAAAGCAGTATGGCGATTCCTTAAAAAGTTGGAATTAGAAATACCATTTGACCCAGCCATTCCATTACTAGGTATATATCCTAAAGAAGTGAGAGCTAGGACAAGAACAGACATATGCATACCCATGTTCATTGCAGCACTATTTACAATAGCCAAAAGATGGAAACAACCTAGGTGTCCATCAACTGAGGAATGGATAGCCAAACTATGGTACATACACCTAAAGAATAATGTAGAATCTGCAAAATACCGCATAACATGGATGAACGTGGAGGACATTATGCTGAGTGAAATAAGTCAATCACAGAAGGACAAATATTGTATTAGTCCATTAATGTAAAGTCAAGGAAAGGTTTATATATGGAAGGAAATTTTCTTTGTTAGTTACCAGGGGTGTGCGGGGAGGGGAGAGAACACTGTTAGATAGATAGAGATAAGTATTGATTTGGGTGAAGAGAAGGGCAATATACCAAATGTGAGTGATCGACATGGTGGCATTGAGGAAGAGGAAGACATAGAGAGGTACATGGGAGGTACAGACAACAAAGATGAACCCTTTTGCACATACAGTACTGCATTGTCAGTGAAGGCAAAAATAGGTATATGGGTGGATAGATGCGTGCATGGGCTGAACTATTAGGTATGTCTGTGAAGTGGCGAGTGTACCCAAGACCATGTATAGGGTTGGCAGACAATGGTCCTATAAGTGTATTGTATGATCTGAATTCCCATGTGTATAGTAGAGCTGACAAGGGGCAAGGTTGTAGTCACTTCTTGGTCATATCCAGCTACCCAGAGGGACTGAGTAGTTGAATTGTTGGGCTCGGGACCATAGTCACAGGGGACATCAAGCTCAATTGGCATGATGTACTACAGAAAACATTGTTCCACCTCCTACTTTGGTGAGTAGCAACTGGGATCTTAAAAGCTTGCAAGCAGCCATCTACATGCAACAGTGGGTCTCTCCTCATCCAGAGCAAAGAAGAAAGAAGAAAATCAAAGAGATTCATGGAAACAATTGGTCCTAGCAACTGGTACACCATGTGATCTGCAGCCTAAATGACTATGAGACCAGAAGAACTAGATGGTACCCAGCTACCACTGTCAAACATTTGGAGGGGGAAGCTGTGTAGGAGATCCTTGATAGAGAGGGAGAACAATGTGGAACAAAACTCAAAATCATTTGGGAAAAACAAAAAATAGTGACCAGGTTTGCTGGTCTGATAGAGCCTGGTGGAACCCCTGAGATTATAGCCCCTAGCTGCTCTTCAGGTCTGGAATTGAACCCACATCTGTGGCTTCCAGCCAAACAAAAGACAGGCATATGAGTTGAACATTTACCTAAGGTAGATATACTCCTTGGAAAGAACAATCATGGGAGAAAGAAAGGCTGTTAATGCACAAGGAGACAGCTCAGGGGGCAGGAGTGCACGGAGGGATGGACACAGGGAAGAGGTAACTATTGGGAGGAAGTAAGAGGGGAGTTGTTGCATTGGGGTAAATTGTAGTCAGTGTCATGAGACAAAGTGTATGTGAACTGCTGTAGAGAAAGTGAATTTGCTCTGTAAATATTCACCCAAATCACAATTTTAAAAAAATTGTAAAATCAAATATAACAAAAAATTTAAAAACCCATGCCTCTTAATGTAGAAAAAAAAAAAAATCTTACAAGCAGCCATCTGAGATCCAACTATTGGTGTCATCTCATCTAGAGCAAAGAATGGTGGAGAAAATCAAAGACATATGGAAACAATTAGTGCAGGGGATCAGTGGACCATGGGAACCTTAGCTTACATGATCCTGAGACCAGAAGAACTAGATGATGCCCAGCTACCAAAGCCAACTACTTGGAAAGGGATCAAGATTGGAGATCCTGGGTATAGTAGGGGAAAAAAAAAATGTGGAACAAAATTCAAAAACATAAAAAGGACCAAGATTATTGGCTGGATAGAGATAGGTGAAACCCCCAGAACATGGCCTCTAGTCACCCCTGAGGCCTGGAATCAGACTAACTCCTATAGCTTAACTCTTAGCCAAATAATAGTTCTGTGAGCTGAACAACTACACATGGGAGATGCACTCTTTACAACAGTCAACCATGACAGATCAGAAGGGCAGCATTTGTACAGGGAGAAAGCTAGGCAGGCAGAAACACATAGATAAGAAGGACACAGGGAAGGGGTAATCATAGGGAGGAGAGAAGAGGAGAGCTGTTACATTATGGGTATTGCAACCGGTGTTGCAAAACAAAATGTATATGAATTGTTGAATGTAAAATAAATCTGCTTTGTAAAATTGCACCCAAATCATAATAAAAAGAAAAAAAAAGTTGGGTTTCTATACACCAGCAATGAGAAATTAGGGGAATGATTCCATTTATAATAGCACTTATGAGAATAAATACTTAGGAATAAGTTTAACCAGGGATGTGAAGGACTTGTACAATGAAAATTATACAACACTGCTAAAATAGATAAAAGAAGCTTAAATAGATGAAAAGATGTTTTGTTTTCATGGGTTGGAAGACTTAATATTGTTAAAATATCAGTATTACCCAAAGTGATCTATAGATTCAGTGCAATCTAAATCAAAATTACAACAACCTTCTTTACAAAAATCAAAATTTATATGAAATTACCCAGATAGCTAAAACAATATTGTAAAAGAACAAAGGAGGAGGACTCATACTTCCTAATCTTAAAACATACTATACAGGTACTGCAATCAAAATAGCCTGGTACTGGTATAACAATAGATATAGACCAACGGAATAGAATTGAGAGTCCAGAAGAAAATCCACACTTCTATGGTCAACGGCTAAGGCACTTGACTGCTAACCAGAAGGCTGCCGGTTCAAACCCACCAGCCACTCCTCGGAAGGAAGGTTGGGCAATCCTACTTCCGTAGTGATACTGCCTCGGAAACCCAAGGAGGGGTCGCTATGAGTCAGGGCTGACTTGACGGCACATAACAACAACAACAACAACATGGTCAACACATTTTTACATGGTTGTTAAGCCTATCTGATGAGAAAGAACAGTTTTTTCAATAAATTGCATTGAGAAAATTGGAGTTTCACATGCAGAAAAATGAAGCACGCTGCATACCTCATACCATATATAAAAACAAATCCAATGTCATGAGACAAAGTGTATGTGAGCTGCTGTATGGAAAATGAATTTGCTCTGTAAACTTTTACCAAAATCACAATAAAAATTTTTTAAAAAAAAGAATTCAAAATGAATTAAAGATCCAAATGTAAAAAACAAAACCATAAAACTCCTAGAAGAAAATGCAGAAGAGACACTGTCAGGCCTGCAATGAATTAACAATGTATTAACTAATATAATTACAAAAGCACAAACACCAAAAAACAAAATAAATAAATGAGACCTCATAAAAATTAAATTTTTGTTCATAAAAAGACTTCACTTGAAAGTGAAAAGACAAGATATTGATAGGGAGAATATCTTCAGAAACCATATATCTGATACGAATCTAATAACCAAAATATTTGTGAAACTTCAGCAAGTTAATAAAAAGACAAATAGCCCAGTCATGAAATGGGCAAAGGACTTGAATAGACATTACACCAAAGAAGACATTCAAATAGCCACCAAACGGATGAGAAGATGTTCAATGTCATTAGCTATCAGAGAGATGCAACCAAAATCACAATGAGATAACATTTTATTCCCATTAGGATAAGTAAGATGAAAAAACAAAACAGAAAATAACAAATGTTGGGAAGGATATAGGGTAACTGGAACCTTTATCCCTTGCTGGTGGTAATTCAAAATGTTACAACCATTGTGGAAAGTAGTGTGGCAGTTCCTCAAAAAACTAAAAATAAAACTATTATATGATCCAGCAATTCCATTCCTAGGTATATACCCTAAACTCTTGAAAGCAGAGACTCAAGCAAGTACTTGTACACCAGTGTTCATCATAGCACCATTCACAATAGCCAAGAGAAGGAAACAACAAACAATGGCATCACCTACCTTGAGATCAGAAGAAGTTGGTGCTTGGCTATCACTACTGACCATTCTAGTGAGGAACACAAAAGATGGTTCCAGATAAAATGGGAGAAAAAGTAGAACAAAAATCAAATTCCTATAAAGAGGCCAGACTTAAAATGGACTGGTAGAGACTAGAAGAACCTCTGAGACTTTAAATACCCTCTACACTTGGAATTCAAACCACTCCCAGTGGTCACCTATCAGCCAAAAGACACAGTGGCTCATAAAATAAAAAATATCACCTGTGAGTACTGTGCTCCTCTAAACAATCATCTCAATGAGACTTAATCATCAACATTTACCCTAGACCAAAGATGAGAAAGTAAGGAAAGCCAAGGAAGGTAGATTAATGGAAACAACCAGAGTGGAAATAATGAGAATGCTGACACATTGTGAAAGTGTAACCAAAGTTCCTGAATAATACTCATGGAAATTGTTAAATAAGAACCTAATCTTCTATGTAAATTTTCTCCAAAATCACAGTAAATTTTTTTTTTAAAAAAAGGTAGAAATAACCTAAATGCCCATAAATAAATGAATGGCTAAACAAAATGTAGTACATACATACAATGGAATAAAGAGAAATGAAGTCTTGATACATCCTACAGTATGCATGGAGCTTGAAGACATTAGGCTAAGTGAAGTAAGTCAATTACAAAAGGATAAATACTGTGTGACCTCAGTTATATAAAGAGTTAGAACAGGCAAATGTGTAGAACCAAAGTTTATTAGTGGTTACCAGGGGCGGGAGGGAGAAGATAAGGAGAGGGTTATTGCTTATGGAGTACTGACTTTCAGTTTACAATGATGGAAAAATCACATTGATTAAGCATAGGGTTCCACAGCTGATGAATGTACTTACTGTCCATAAGTTGTATATCTGTAAAAAGTTCAATTGGCCAAAGTAGTGTGATTGAGCATTTTTTCCTTGGTGCGTCCCTCAGAGCAGGATGGGTCACCAGCAGCTCTACTAGAGCCACCCGTGGAAATTCGGGCAGGGTTGGCGCTCTTGCCGTGTGTGCTCAAACCGGTATGGCCTAATCCAGAAATACGGTCTCACTGTGTGCGATCAGTGTTTCCGTCAGTACGCGAAGGATTTAGGATTTATCAAGTTGGACTAAGTGATCTTCCTTGAATGTATTATCCAAGACATCTACTCAGCAAAAGAAACAATGCCAATTATTTGCACATAAAATAAAAAAATCTTCAATTTTGACTAAAAACAAAACAAAACAACCAAAGTTGTGTGATTGATATATGTACAACAATGACCAAAAAAAAAAAAAAAAAAAGCTGCCGAGGCTGCTTATGTACAGCCAAACACTCATGGAATTTAATTCCTTGGTTTGGAGGTTTAAGGTTATGGTTTCATGGGACATCCCAGTTAATTAGCCTAATAATGTGTTTAGTACTTACTTCTGTTTTATCTCTTAATTCATTATGTAGTTAGTGTCTGGTGTCTTAAAAGCTTGCAAGTGGCCATCTAAGTTACAATAATTATTTGTCTGGAACAATAGAGGACAAAGGAGAGTCAGGAACAGAAGGAGGAAATGGAAGGTGTGGCTAATTACCTCCTTTGCCATAAGACCAGAAGAACTGAATGGTGTGTGGCTCCCATTACTCAACATTTTGATCAAAGAGTCTATAGAAGAATCCTAATTAAGAAATATGGAGTAGAATTTCAGATTCTTATGTATTCCAGAATATCTGGAGCCATGAAGGATGGATGAACCCCTGAAACTGTTGCCCCCAGAACATCTTTAAACCTTAAACCAAAAATATCCCCTAAAGTCATCTTAAAACCAAACAATGGTTTAGCTTAAGTAGTAAAGAATGTCTGCCTTGAGCTTTTTGTGCTTTTTTAAGATCTATCTATATGGGATCAAACTGATAGGAACAGCTTCAAAGATCAGATAGGAAACGTAGGGGGCAATGAGTTTATGTTAATAGAGAGGAACAACCCAAGGAGGGTAAGAATGATTGCATAACTCCAAAGTTGTGCAGAGTTACTGAATTGCACATGTAGAAATTGTTGAATTGGTATATGTTCTGCTGTGTATAATCTTAACAACAACAAAAATAAACAAATATTTTTAAAAAGAAGAGGAAGAAAAAAAAAGAGGGAGCTTCCCTGCTTGTAGGTTGAGGGTAGAGTATCTTGGCTTCTCTTTCCCTTCCAATATCAGCTACTCAGGGACCTCTGAGAACTAAGTTTGAAGCCAGTGCTTTCAAACTCTGTGTACCCCAACATCAAGTGAACTAAGAGAGGTGATGTGGTGATGCATTGCTAAGCAGCCATCTGGTATGCCCTATCTGAACATACCGGCAGTCCTATTAAAGAACAAATCGGTAGATGAACCATGAAGAGGCCTGAAAAAAAAAAAAGATAGGGAAAAAAACTTGAGTACAAAATCCTCTATAATACAGATTGTCATTTTTACTTTGAGTACACATCTGATATAGGAAAAGAGATAGAAATGCATCTTGTAGATAAGTGGGGAGGCTTAGGGAAGGAGGAGTAACTTTGCAAAAAAGCTAAACTACAGATGTGTCTGAAATATTAGTACTACTTTCTTTACTTTCTGATTCATTTGCTTTCATTAAATTAATAAGGGTTGAAAACAGCTGTTAATAACCTTGCCATTTGTGCCCCCGATAGCTTTTAGAAGCATTAATAGAGGCTGAAATTTAAAGTAAAAGAAAAAAAAATTTACAGTTAAAAAGCACATGTTCCCAGAGTACTCTTTGTGCAAGTGACCAAAAGATTACAGAAATATAAGCTTGATCAAAGAGCTCTAACCTTCTGTAAATAACTGATAAAATTTAGGAAGCTCAAATAGCATATCACAAGTTTCCAAATGAGACTTCTTCCTTTTATGTACAGGGTTAGCATAATGTTCTCCCTCACAGATGAGTGATACGTTATTTAAAGTGTAAACATGTTTTTCTTGCCTTGGTTTTATGAACTAGAAAACACTGCTCAAGATTTAGAAGAGTTTTTGTTAAATAGTTATTGTTAAATAAGAACCTAATCTTCTATGTAAATTTTCTCCAAAATGCACAGGGAGACAGCTCAGGGGGCAGGAGCAATCAAAACTATCTGTAACAATCTTTGTGCATCTTTGAAGATTTTCTCTAATAGCTCATTGGAAAGAAGTTCTGGTGGCATAGTGGTTAAGCATTAGGCTGTGATTTAAACCCACCAGCTGTTCACCAGGAGATGAGACAGTTGTTCTGTGAAGACTTAACAGCTTTGGAAACCCCCCGGGGCTGTTCTACTTTGCCCTATCGGGTCACTATGAGTCAGAATCAACCCCCAATGGCAGTGGGTACTGGGTAGCTCATTGGAACGTCATTCATATCATGCAAGTGGTCTTGAGTGTTCTTATTCAGCAAATGGCCCACAGTGCACAAGAATTTCTAATGGGAGCCACCTTGACAAATACAGTGCCTTGTGAGCCTCACCTACTGAATACTCCGTTTTTCAGCTTTGTTTCAGCAAGTTCTAGCATTTTGCATTCTAAAGACAGCACCAGAAAGGTGTGTGAGTTGTCATGAGTTTTTTGCAACCTTAACCTAGGGAAGAAGGGTGCTGCCAAGAAGAGAGGGAAAGATAAAAGATTTCATGTTGATGGAGTCAGGGTGAGTGTGCAGAAGGAGAGATGATTAACCTTGATGCCTTAACATAGATATGTATAATGCTGATAGGATGTGTGTTTGGAGGGAGGTATCAGAAGAATGTATAATCCTGATAGGATGTGTGTTTGGAGGGAGGTATCAGAAGAGTAAATTGTTTATTCCATTTGAATGACTGAATTTGAACATTTTACCTCTAAATATTGGGTGGTAGGTTCTTTGGGTTGCATGTCATAAAAATTCTTGATCTTTCGTCTTTTTCTCTTCTGGTAAAGAATTTATCTTGCATACATATTGTCTTAAATCTCTTCCATTTCTTCTTTTACAGGAAGGAGAAGCAGATGGGGCATTAAAAGAAATCAAGACTAGTCCTCGGCCCACAAGAACTGACTCCATGAACACGTATGTGAAGAAAGATTAAGGCTGTTGAGCAGGGGGCGATTATCTCAACACTGGGAAGTTAAACATGAGCTAAAAAAGTAATGTCTTATTAATTTATATTAGGACCTTTCAAGAATAAAACCAAAAAAACTAGATTTTAAAACTACTTAATGTAGTATTCTCCCTAGAATAAAAATGATGTTTGGTGCCTTCCTAGGCTACGTAATGGCTCACCACTCTGTTATGTGAGAGGTGAAAACATACTTACTGTTAACCAAAACAAGCTAATTGTTTTGGTTTTGAACATTTTATTGTGCTTTAGATGAATATTTATACAGCAAATTAGTTTTCCATTCAATAATTCATACACACATTGTTCCATGGCATTGGTTGGAATCTACACCATGTGTCAGCGCTCTCCCTCTTTCCACCCTGGGTTCCCTGCCCCTTCTTGCCTTCTCATCTTTGTTTTTGGGCAGATGTTGCCCTTTTGGTCCCGTATAGATTGTTCTAAGAAGCATGTTCTTCATGGGTGTTATTGTTTATTTTATAGGCCAGTCTGTTATTTGGTTGAGAGGTGACTTCTGGAAGTGGCTTCAGTTCCATGTTAGAAGGTGACTTCGGGCAATAGTCTTGGGGCTTCCTCTAGTCTCTATCAGACTAGTAAGTCTGGCTTTTTTTTTTTTTCCAGTGAATTTGAGTTTTGTTCTACATTTTTCTCCCATTCTAACTAGGACCTTCTATTGTATCCCTGGTCAGAGCAGTTGGAAGTGTTAGCCTGGCACAATCTAGTTCTTCTAGTCTCAGGCTAGAAGAGGCAGTGGTTTATGTGGGCCATTAGTCCTGTGGACTAGTTGCTTCCTTGAGTCTGATTTTCTTCACTTTCCTTTGCTCTGAGGAGCTCTGCTAGCATAGTGCCTAAAGCATTTGACTGCTAATCAGAAGGTTGGCAGTTCAAACCTGCCAGCCACTCTGCAGAAGGAAGACTGGGCAATCTACTTCTGTAAAGATTTACTGCCTCAGAAACCCAAAGGGAGCTGCTATGAGTTGGAATTGACTCTATGGCAGTGAGTTTGTTTGTTTGTTTTTTGCTTTGCTCCTTTGCTCTGTTGTTGTTGTTGTTGTTGTTTGCCATCAAGTCGGCCCCGACTCATAGCGACCCCTCCTTGGGTTTCCGAGGCAGCATCACTATGGAAGTAGGAATGCCCAACCTTCCTTCCAAGGAGTGGCTGGTGGGTTTGAACCGCCAGTCTGCTGGTTAGCAGTCAAGTGCCTTAGCCACTATGCTACCAGAGCTCCTCTCCTTTGCTCTAGAAGGGAAGAAAACAATAGTTGTATCTTAGATGGCTGTTCTCAAGCTTTTAAGACCCCAGACACTACTCACCAAAGTAGGATGTAGAATGTTGTCTTTATATACTCTATGTCAGTTGACCTAGATGTCCTCCAAGACTATGGTCTTTAAGCTTCAAGCCCAGTAGCTCAGTCCTGTGAGGTGTTTGGTCATGTGTGAGAAGTTTCTATAACTGTGGCCCCTATGAGCTCTTTATGTATATAAATATATATGCAAAAAAAAACAAACACTGCCATCAAGTCGATTCTACTCAGTGACCCCTCCTTGGGTTTCCAAGGCGGTATCTCTACGGAAGTGGATTGTCCAATCTTCCTTCTGAGGAGTGGCTGGTGGGTTTGAACTGCCAGCCCTCTGGTTAGCAGTCAAATGCCTTAGGCGTACAGTACCTACAAATAGTATATAGAAAAATACACACCATACTTGTGTATGCACGTGGATATAGTCCCATATGGATATAGTCCCATATGGCCTTCCACTTCTATTTAGCATACATATCTCCTTATGTATGCACTCACAAATTATTGTTTGTTACTACTGTTGTTGCAGAATCGTTAATGTGGTAGTTAAGGTTATGTGTCAACTTGGGTGGGCCTGGTTTTGAGTGGCTGGGCAGCTGGATGTAGTATTCCACATGATGAGACTGGTAATCAGCTCCATGGTGGAATCTACTGTGAGCAACTGAGTAGGTGCCTTAGGGATGTGGTCTGCTTCCAGTACATAAGGAGATGCTTTAGGAATGGTCTGCAGCTTTTGACATGCTTGAATCCTCCATGTACCCAAGTTGTCATTTGTCAGCCTGCCTTGTTGTCTGTCAATCTTGGGACTGTTAATGGACTTGAATTAGTGACCTGCCATGTGGTTTGGTAATATTGGGACTTTGCATTTTTACTTGTTGACCTTGGGTTTGTCACCCTCCGCAGCTAGCAGTTGCCTGAATGAAGAAGCCTCCAGCTTCAGTGGGCTGGGAGCAAGAGGCAGAGCTGAAGTCCAAGGTCAAGGGGTTTTCACCCAGCCCCTAGAGCCTGGCACTTTGAATTCAGACTTCTAGCCTCCAAAACTATAAGAGAATAAACTCCTGTTTGTTAAAGCCATCCCATTTGTGGTATTTTCTGTTAGAACGGCACAAAGTAACCAAAACAGTTAATGTTATAGTCTTTACCAGAGTTGTCTTTTATTCTTACATACCTCTCAGTGTCTTCGTTTGTCTTGGTCTTGTTGGACTGATTTCCCCTATACTGTGTATTACTTTTCCTTCACCCAGATTAATACAAGTCTAGTATCTAGTTAGTGATTCTCCCTCCCTCCCCCTCCCATCCTGTTTCTTTTTGTGTATAAATCTATTGACTTTTCATAATAGTGGTCTTATACAATGTTTATGTATTTATGGTTATATTTCAGTCAGCATAATATCCTCTGGCTTATTCCATGTTGTTGGATGTTTTGTGGATTCATCATCATTCTTTATCATTGCATGGTATTACATTGTATGTATGTACACAGTTTGTTTATCCATTCATCCATTGGTGGACCGTTGTTTCCATCTTTTTGCTATTGTGAATAATGTGTGATGAACATGGGTGTGCATATGTCTATTCATGCCACAGCTCTTATTTCTCTAAGATACATACCTAGGAGTGGGATTGCTGAATCATATGGAATTTCTATTTCTAGCTTTTTAAGGAAGCACCTTATCATTTTCCATATTGGTTGTACCATCAGCAGCATATAAGAGTTTCTATCTCCCCACAGCATATATTGTTTTGTTTTGTTGATCAGTGCCATTATTGGTGAGGTGAGATGGCATTGTTGTTTTGATTTGCATTTCTCTAATGACTAATGATCAAGAGCATCATTTTATGTGTTTGTTATCCACTTATATGTCTTCTTTGATGGAGTGTCTGTTCATATACTTTGTCCATTTTTTAATTGGATTGTTTGTCTCTGTGTTGTTGAGATATTGGAGTTTTCTATAAATTTTTAAAATTAGACCTTTGTCAGATATATTGTTGCCAAATTTTTTTTCCCAGTTTGTAGGTTTTCTTTTTTAGTTTAGGCTTTTGATAAGTATAAGTACTTAATTTTTAGGAGGTTCCAGCTGTCTACTTTATCTTTTGCTATTTGTGCATGTTTAGTCATGTTTGATACTCTGTTTATGCCATAGATTAGGCATTTGTCCCTATTTTTTTGTCCTTGAACTTTACAGTTTTAGGTTTAAGATTTAGGTCCTTTTTCATTTCTCTGCATGTGGATATCCCATTTTGCCAGCACAATTTGTTAAAGAGACTATCTCTTCCCCACATAATGGACTTTGACTGTTTGTCGAAGATCAGCTGTCCATACCTGGATGGATTTATTTCTGGATTCTCAATTCTGTTCCATTGGACTGTGGGTCTGTCATTGTACCAGTACCAGCCTGTTTTTACAACCATGACTGTGTAGTAGATTCTGAGGTTGGCAAGTGTGACAGATGATGTTGTTGTTGTTGTTATGTGCCGTCAAGTCAGCCCTGACTCATAGCGACCCCTCCTTGGGTTTCCGAGGCAGTATCACTACTGTTCTTAATCAAAAGATCCAAGTTTCCTAATTCATTTACCAGTTGTTTGACTTTAATCTGCCTGCCCAGATTGATAAGTGAGGTGTTTCCATTTTCTCTTCTCTATTCATTGTTAATTGCAAACTAGGTGACTAATACTGGATAATCTTCTATGATAATGATGGTTATTGCTCTGAATCACCATGGGTAGTTCTTGAAAGTGTCCAGATACCTTATCTGTGGAGTCTTGAATTTACCTGTCTCAAGGACATAGTAGCAAACAGACATCTTATATAATGGAAGGGATTTGCAAAGGGTGTGGGTAGAGGAACTGCATACCTGAAACTCTCTGATTCTTTTAGGTAGCACTCATCCAGAATAAAACCTACTGCTGTCAAGGCATTTCTAACTCATGGCAATTCATGAGTTACAGAGTAGAACTACTCCACAGGGTTTTCTTGGCTGTAATCTTTACAGAAGGAGATTGCCAGGCCTTTCTTCTGTGACACTAAGTGGGTTCAAACCACCAATCTTTAAGTTAGTATTCTAGTGCAAACTGTTTGTGCCACCCAGGGACCTCAATTCACCCAGAATAGGCTTTGCTAATCCTCTGTAGGCAGGTTACTGTTATGTTATTAGTCCACTTAAAAGAGACAGTTATCTGAAAATTTCTCTAAGAGTCCCTTTTTTTAAATTGATGGATGTGCACAGAATTTGATATTAAAGCCATAAAAAACAATTTCCCCTATTTTGCTCCCAAGCTCTTATATGAGGGAAAAATTAAGTATTAAATATTTTTTCATCAAACAGGACAGTTGGCATGAATGAAAGTTATTTCTTTCTTTAGTTGAAAATTCCTCAGCATTTTTGCAAATTGTTATTGGAATATCAAATCCTGGAAGTGGGAGGAAGGAAGCTAACACCATTTGCAAGTTCAAATCACTTTCTCCTAATTTATACCCATATGAAAAGATTACATCTTTTAAGCCACAGTGCTGTTTTCTAGTAAATAACACCTTTTTCCTATTTGTGAGCATCATATAGAATCAGAAATTGATTTCTAGGTTTGGAATTTCAGCTTTGGGGTCAGAGGAACCAGGATTTAATACTGTCCGTTAGATTCTTGCCTTCCGTGCAGGAGATTTGGGTATGATTCCCGGCCACTGCACCTCATATGGAGGAGACTTGCATGTTACGATGACACTAAACAGGTGTCAGTGGAACATCCAGACTAAGATGAACTAGGGGAAAAGGCCTGGTGGTCTACTTCTGAAAATCATCCAGTGAAAACCCTGGATCACAAGAGTTCAATTCCTAGCCCATCATGGGGATGGCATAGGACCAGGCTGCATTTGGCTGTATTGTGCATGGCATTACCATGAATCAGAGATTGAGGACTAACAATAACAACAGCAATTTATTATATCTGTGAACTTTAGTAGAATTCTGAAGTAGCAATTGCATTAACATTGTCATAGTTATCCTGTTTTATTAGTTTAGTGGTAGTTGTGGTTTGGTTTGTCATTGAAACATCTTTTTATTGAAACAAAGAAAAATATTTGGCATACCAACAGTGCCTACATTTCTCTACTGTAATTATTTAAAACCAAAAGTACAATGTATTTCCTTTACCTGATAATTTGATGCTTTCTGTCAAGTTAAAGAAAAACAAGGGTCTGTGTGTGTGTCTTCACTGCCTTGGAGTTGGTTCCAACTCATAGGGACCCCTCCTTCAGTTTCTGAGGTGGTATCACTAGGGAAGTAGTTGCCCAGTCTTTTCCTAGGAGTGGCTGGTGAGTTTGAATGGACAGGTTTCTGGTTAGTAGTCAAATGCCTTAGGCACCAAGACACCAGAGATCCTTAATCATTTCAAAGAGAGGGCAAATTTACCTAACAATAAAGGGTAAGTAGGAGCTCTGGTAGCATAGTGCCTAAGGCACTTGACTGCTAACCAGAAGGCTGCCGGTTCAAACCCACCAGCCACTCCTCGGAAGGAAGGTTGGGCAATCCTACTTCCGTAGTGATACTGCCTCGGAAACCCAAGGAGGGGTCGCTATGAGTCGAGGCTGACTCAACGGCAAATAACAACAACAACAAAGGGCAAGTAGGAATTGTTTCTAACCTGGGGACTGTTTGTATTGGGCTACTCTGTTCATACTGCCTCGAAAACCCAAGGAGGGGTCACTATGAGTCGGGGCCGACTCGACGGCATACAACAACAACAACAACTCTGTTCTTAGACTTTGACATTCTCATTTTCTGTTGAAAACCTTTTAACCTTTATACTGAAAGTGACATTGTCTTAATGTAGGAGCAAATCTGCAGAAGGAGCCAGGAATTATTTGGAATTTGAGGAATTAACTGTGAGCCAACTCCTGCTATGTCTTAGAGAAGGAAACCAGAAGGTGGAAAGACTTGAAATTGCACTCAAGGAAGCCAAAGAAAGGTATGACATATATAACTTGAAATGTATAAATATTGTTTTTTGTAACAGCTGTATTGTGATATAATTAAAATATCATGTAATTCACTCATTTAAACTCTACACTTCAAAGTTTTTTAGAATATTCACAGGGTCATGAAACCATTTCTACAATATAATTTTAGAAAATTCTCTCTTTGCAAAAACGACCTCCATACCCATTAGAATTTACTCCTCATTTCCTCTCCTCCTAGCCCCTGGCAAAAGCTAATCCACTTTCTGTCACTTAAGATTTGCCTATGCTTGACATTTCATACATATGTAGATATACAATATGTGGTCTTTTGTGACTGGCTTCTTTCACTTAGGATAATGTTTTCAAGGTTCGTTCATGTTGAAGCTTATATCATTACTTCATTTCTTTTTGTTCCCAAATAATATTCCATTTTAGGGCATAAAAGGAGCTCCAGTGGTACAGTGTCTAAGGCATTGACTGCTACCAGAAACTTGGCAGTTTAAATCCACCAGCTGCTCCGTGGAAGGAAGATGGGGCAATCTACTTCCATAAAGATTTACCACCTTGGAAACCCAATAGGGGTTGCTATGAGTTGGAATTGACTCTATGGCATTGGGTTTGGTTTTTTTATTTTAGAGGATATATCCCATTTTATTTATCTATTCATCATTTGATGAACATTTGGGTTGTTTCCAGATTTGCCTATTATGAATAACATTACTATGAACATTCATATACAAGTAAATTTTTCCTTGAGGAACTTTATAGTTTTAGGTTTCACATTTAAGTCTTTGATCCATCTGGAGTTAGTTTTTGCATATAGTGTGAGCTATGGATCTTGCTTCATTTTTCTGCAAATGGATATCCAGTTTTGCCAGCATCATGTGTTAAAAAGACCACCTCTTACCCATCTAATGGATTTCAGTCCTTTATCAAAAATCAGTTGACCATAGGTTGATGGATCTATTTCTGGGTTCTCAATTCTGTTCCACTGGTCTATATGTCCGGTGTTGTAGCAATACCAGGCAGTTTTGACTACTGTGGCTGTATAGTAGGTTTTGAAATCTGGGAGTGGGAGACCTCCTACTTTGTTGTTCTTCTTCAATAGTGCTTTGCTTATCCAAGGTCTCTTTCTTTTCCATATAAAATTAGTGATTTGTTTTTCCATATCTTTAAAGAATGCTGATGGCATCTGGATTAGGATTACATTGAATGTATAGATTGCTTTGGGTAGTATTGCCATTTTCACAATGTTCAATCTTCCTAACCATGAGCATGGTATGTTCTTCCCTTTATGTAGACCTCTTATGGCTTCTTGAAGTAGTGTTTTGTAGTTTTCTTTGTGCAGGTCTTTTGTGTCCCTAGTGAGATGTATTCCTAAGTATTTATTTTTTTCGTAGCTATTGTAAATGGTATTGATTTCCTCATTTCCTTTTCAGCAATCTCTTGGCTGGAATAGAGGAATTCAGCTGATTTTTGTATGTATATCTTGTATCCCACCACTATGCTAAATCTTTCAATTAGTTCTAGTAGCTTCTTTTACTGAGTCTCTTGGGTTTTCTATGTATGGGATCATATCATCTGCAAATAGGCATAGTGTGACTTCTTCCTTACCAATTTGGATGCCTTTGATTTCCCTTTGTTGCCTTATTGGCCTGGCTAGGACTTCCAATACAATGTTGAATAGAAGTAGTGATAGAGGGCATCCTTGTCTGGTTCCTGTTGGCAACGGGAATGGTTTCAGTCTCTCTCCATTGAGAATAATGTTGGCTGTTGGTTTTGCATAAATGCCCTTTATTATGTTGAGGAAGGTACCTTCTATTCCTACTTCGCTGAGTTTTTATCAGGAATGGGTGTTGAATTTTATCAAGTGCCTTTTCTCCATCAATTGATATGATCATGTGGTTCTTCTCCTTTGTTTTATTTATGTGATGGATGATGTAGATTGTTTTTTCTGATGTTGAACCATCCTTGCATAACTGGTATGAACCCCACTTGGTCATAATGTATTATTTTTTTGATAGTGGTGTACTGCCTAAGGCATTTGACTGCTAACCAGAAGGCTGCCGGTTCAAACTCACCAGCTACTCAGAAGGAAGATTGAGCAATCTAATTCTGTAGAGATACTGCCTCAGAAACCCAAGGAGAGGTAGCTATGAGTTAGAATCAACTTGATGGCAGTGAGTTTGGCTTTTTTGGTTTTGGTTGGAGTCTATTGGTAGGATTTTGTTGAAGATCTTTGCATCTATATTCATGAGGGGTAATGGTCTGTAGTTTTCCTTTTTAGTGATGTCTTTGCCTGGTTTTGATATCAATGTTATGCTTGCTTCATAAAATGAATTTGGGAGGATTCCATCCTTTTCTATGTTCTGGAATAGTTTGAGTAGGACTGGTGTCATTTCTTCTCTGAACATTCAGTAGAATCCTCCAGTGGAACCATCTGGCCAGGACTTTTTTTGATTGGTAATTTTTTTATGACCTGTTTAATTTATTCTTTTGTTATGGTTCTGTTCAAATTTTCCACCTTAGTCTGTATTAGTTTAGGTAAGAAGTATGTTTCTAGAAATCTGTCCATTTCTTCTAGATTTTCAAATTTGTTGGAGTATAGTTCTTCATAGTATCCTGATATTATCCTTTTAATTTCTTTTGGTTCTGTTGAGGTGTCACCCAATTTATTTCTTCTTTGTGTTATTTCTATTCTCTCCCTCTTTTCCTTTGTTAAGTTTGCCAGTCATTTCTCAATTTTATTAATCTTTTCAAAAAACCAGCTTCTAGTCTTTGATTTCTTCTATTGTCTTTCTACTTTGTTTCATTTATCTCTGCTCAAATCTTTATTATTTCTTTTCTTCTGGTGACTATAGTTTTTTGGGTTTTTTTTTGTTTTTTTGCCGTTTTTTCTAATTTTTGGAGATGTTGGGTTAAGGTGTTGATTTTGGCTCTCTCGTCTTTTTTAATGTGTGCATTTATTGCTCTGAATTGGCCTCTGATCACTGCTTTTGCTGAGTCCCAAAGATTTTGGTATGCTGTGTTTTCATTCTTGGTTTTTAAAGGAATTTTTTTTAATTTCATTTTTTATTTCTTCAATTACCCAGTCATTTTCCAGGAGGGTGTTATTCAGTTTCTATGTGTTTGCTCTTTTTCCAGTGATCTTCCTATTGTTGATTTCTAGTTTTATAGCATTATGATCTGAGAAGATGCTTTGCAGTATTTCAACGTTTTCAAATTTTTTAGGGCTTACTTTGTGGACTAACATATGGTCTATCCTGGAAAATGTTCCAGGTGCACTGGAAAAGAATGTATATTGTGCTGTTGTTGGGTAAAGTGCCCCGTAGATATCTATAAGGTCAAGTTGGTGAATTGTATTGTTTAGTTCTTCGGTGTCTTTGTTGAGTTTCTTTCCAGTTATCCTGTCTTTGATTGAAAGTGGTATATTAAAATCTCCCACTATGACTATGGAGCCATCTATTTGTCTTTTCAATTATTTTAAAGTCTGATTTATGTATTTTGGGGCTCTTTCATTGAGTGCAATGTCCTCTGGCTCAATAGATCCTTTAATCATTATATAATGTCCTTCCTCATCTTTTATGGTGGTTTTTGTCTTAAAGTCAATTTTATCAGAAATTAATATTGCTACTCCTGCTCTTTTTTGGTTGCCATTTGCTTGACATATTTTTTTCTAATCTTTGATTTTTAGTCTATTTGTGTCTTTGTCTCTAAGGTATGTCTCTTGTAGACAGCATATTAATGGGTTATGTTTTCTTAGCCAGTCTGTAACTTTCTGTCCCTGAAGTGGTGCATTTAATCCATTGACATTCAGTGTAATTATCAACAAGTAAGAATTAAAAAAAAAAAAAAATTATTGTGATTTGGGTGAAAGTTTACAGAGCAAATTCATCCTCCATACAGCAGTTCACACACAGTCAGTCTGTTTGATGACACTGACTGCAATCTCCCACAATACAACAGCTCTCCTCCCACTTCTTCCCCACAGCCACCTCCTTCCTGTGTCCTTCCCTCCCATGCACTCCTGCCCCCTGAGATGTGCATACACAGCCCTTCTAGTCTCCCATGATTAATCTCTCCAAGGAATGTATCTACCTAATGTAAATGTTCAGCTCATATACCTGTCTTTCATTTAGCTGGAGCCACAGGAGTGGGTCCAGTTCCAGACCTGAAGGGCAGCTAGGGGACATAGTCTCAGGGGTTCTACCAGACTCTATCAGACCAGCAAACCTAGTCCTTTATTTTTTTATGATTTTGAGTTTTGTTCCACATTGTTCTCACACTCTATCCAGGATATCCTACATAGATTCCCCTCTGAGTGGTTGACAGTGGTAGCTGGGCACTATCTAGTTCTTCTGGTCTCATGGTCATATAGGCTGAGCACTGCATGGTGTACCAGTCCCTTGGACTAATTGGTTCCATGCATCTTTGGTTTTCTTCATTTTTCTTTGCTCTGGACAAGGAGAGACCCATCACTGTATATACATGGCTGCTTGCAAGCTTTTAAGATCCCAATTGCTACTTGCCAAAGTAGGATATGGAACAATATTTTTGTGTAGTGTGTTATGCTAATTGAGCTTGATGTCCCCTGCAACCATGGTCCCAAGCCCACAGGTCCAGCTACTTGCTCCCTCTGGGTACCTGGCTGTGGCCAAGAGGTGACTACTACCTTGTCCCGACAAGTATGAATTTGTTTCTGTCATTTTATTATGTGTTTTTTTGGTGGTGTTAGTGATTTTTTTGTTCCTTATAATCTTCTGTGTTGAGTTCATTTTGTTTATGAATTGTGTTATCACTTTCTTCATTGTTATTGTTTTAGTATTTGCTAAATATTAGTGCTTGTCCTCTTTTCTATTTTGATGTGAAGGTTTATCATTTTTCTTTGAGGTTATCCTGTGATTTATAATTCTCTTCCCAAGTTTAGAACAGCCTGTTCTATCTTGCAATTGTCTTGACTTCCACACCATTTAGAAGTTCTGTAAGTACACAGTTTTATCCCTCTTTT